TTGGTACCAGGGATCAAACTCAGGCCCTTGTGCTTGTGAGGCAGGTGCTGGAACCACTGAGGTAAATCCTGACCCTGGAATCTTTATTTTAAACAAATCCTCAGGTGATTCTCAAAAGCCCTTTGAGAAATTCTAGGTTCTTTTCCACTCTTGCCTCTCCTGGGACTTAAGGTAGCAGTGCCCTTTTCTGAAGAAGATGTTAGGAAAGATTAGGGCCCTTTGGTTGACAGGAGTTTTGTCACAGATCTGCCATTCTCAACTCCTCTCCCAACTCCAGGTTGATGAGTCCTTGTTAGTTTCTTTGGAGCCACCTTCCTCATGGGTTCTTCTGATTAGAGGTTGGGGATAAACTCTGAAGTCTCTGTCAAGTGCTGGGCATGACCAAACTGTGCCAAGAAGATGAGGAAAATAGGCCCCTTGGTTATCTTCTGCCACCAAGAATGCTATTTTGATTGACATCGGTGTCATTCATGGGGCTGGAGACACTTTGCGCCAGGGCCAGTTCCCTGGCCAATTATTTTAGAATCCTGTTCTGAGGTGCCTCCTTAAGGCCCAATGGCTTCTGGCTATATAGCCACACCTCCTCCACCCTCCTTCAGGTACTGTAGCACTAGTAACCTCAGGGTGATTCTTCATAGCTTCCAAACTGGGATTCAGGCTTGGGGAGTTGACACAGGGGAGTAGAAATCCCATTTCTGCATTTTTTTTTCTAATAGGGAAAACCTATAATTTAGTGTAGTTAGACCACTGTCCCACGGGTATTTCATGGGGGGGCAGCGATTGTAATATACTTCTGTTTTAACTTCATGTAAAATAGATAGTTGCCCTGAAAATCCCTTTAATAACAACCTTGTCCTTCATGTTTTCCTTCTCTTTGACCATCTTGTTTTTCTTTGTTGTCCATCTCTTCCTAAGTTGGTCAGTTTTCTCATATTCTCTGTGACCAAAGGAAAATTAGGATTCTTTCCTTGTTTTCTTCCCTCCTTTCTTTTATTCATTATAATTTACTAAGTCCTTGTTCTAAACCAGGTTCTGTGTAAGACATGGCTTGCCACCTTTGCTGTTGAAATGTAATTGCTTTGTGTTTCAGTAGGGTTAAAGAACTCCAGAATAAGAGAAGCAGACGAAAGTGGTCAAATACCAGTCATCCTGGAAAAATCAATCTCTGGGAGATTAATCTATCCGGAGGGAGGGGGGATGTCGACACACTTCAGCTCTTTGTATATGCCAAACTGGGGTGCCTTATGAATTATTCCCAGAGAACATCTTGTCAATAATCATGCCTCTTCACGGGGGAGATGCCTATCTGTTTTCTGGATAAAAGCAGGTTATTGGACTGAAGTTGGAAGGAAAAGCTCCACAAAGGCCTGCAGATATGTTGATGACAGAGTGAATACCACAGGGATGCCAAGCATACTTTTACCTGGCGACAGGTTAGCCTGTAATCAGATGTCATGAGGATTTGTTGCTCTTAGGCGTTTATAAGGCTACTTTTCCTCCTTTGTAGACCTAGCCTCCTGTATAACCGGTGATACTCAGTATCTTCATGGTGGAACCCGCATTCTATCTTCTCAGCTCTGACCTTCACCCTTCCTTGACATGTATTTAGGCAGCTTCTCTCTCTACCTATCCACTCCATCACTGTTGTCTTTATAGAATAAGAAATCTGTGTGTTTATCTTGTTGTTAGTTTTTCCTTCTTAACAATTGCTGATCCATGCTGAACTTATTTTTATAAGTGAGACATTTCAGTTCATGTTACGTTTATGTTTTGGGCACTAAAATATTTTTTCCCAGTACCAAAGAAATTCCTGGGCTCATTCTCCAGTGACTGATTTTTTTTAAAAAACACTGGATTTAGAACAATTTATTGTTTTTGTGTACAGAAAACTCAAGAGTACATGAAGACGGGTTAGTGGCAAGTTCTTTAGCCTTACCTTTTCTAGCTATGACTTTTGTTTTTGTTTTGTTACCAGGGATCAAACTTGGGTCCTTGTGCTTGCAAGGCAGGGAGCAGCACCACTGAGCTAAATCCCCAGCCCTCTAGCTATGACTTTTTTGAGACTTTTTGATGTGCTTTGATGCTTGGGGGAAATGAAGCAAGTTTTTGATGGGGAGAGGCAGATGGATGTGGTGCCTCCTTTTGGGGGAGGCTCATCCCCCGTCAGGCAGGGCGACGGGGAGACCGTGTGAGGCACCCGCTCAGCTGCTTCCACTTCTTGGTCCTCCTGTGACAAATTGGACCAGTGGAGCTGACCCGGGGATGGCGTCTTTGTGAGCCTCTCGGTTCACATTCAGGCCTGCCATACGGCTAGCGGCCATGTGCCCGGGTTTGAGGGGTGGCTTCTCTTTCTGTGAGTCCCACCAGTCACTTGAGGGGTGATGGTCGGGGTGGGAGCAGGTACAACAGGGATGACGCAGAGGAAACCAAGGTGGCTTGCTCGGGAGACACAGTGGGTTTGTTGAGTAGATTTTTCTCAGTGTGTCAGTTTTCTTTCACGCAGCCAGACCCTTAGGTGGGATAGAGTTTAACTGTGTCAGGCCTGTGTTCAGGTGAAGCCTGTGTGGCTCACAATTCCTCCCATCTTCCTCAGTAACTCACAAGGTCTACCGGGTATTTTACTTAGACTTTAGTTTCACCCTGGCAGCTTTGGGTATAGGCAGAGTAAAAACCAGAGAAATCAGTGGTACTTTTTTGTTGTTTTTTGTTTTTTTTTGAGACAGGGTCTCACTATGTAGCTGAGACTAACCAGGAACTCACTATGTAGCCCAGGCTGGCCTCGAACTCAGTGATCCTCCTGCCTCAGCCTCCCGAGTGCTGGGATTACATGTGTGCATCACTACGCCCGGCTTCAGGGATACATTTGTAGCGACACCTTTGAGGTACATGATGTGTCCTGGGGATATCAGGAGTGGAGCAGAGGGGCGGGGGAAGGAGCTCATGACTCAGTAGCCAGTTCTTAGGGCTGTGTATTAATGGTCAATAAGTAGACCAAACTTCATGAAGCAAAGTTCAGCTTTTAGAAACTTGCTTGCTGCCTGGCAGCTGAACTCCACAATCCTGGAATATTCTTGGTGGTGTAGTCAGTCAAGTGGTCTAATGAAACTTCACTGGCTCCAGAAAACATTTGGGTAATTAGAGTGGTCATGGCTGACCTGACTGGGACCTGCTTTTCTGGCTGGTGCCTCCCTCCCCTCCCCGAC